TTCAATTAAATCCCCTAATTATAAAATTTGGAAGTTGTTTATTTTTCTCTCTTCACAGATTTTGTAAAAACATAACAGTTCTAACAGGAAAGACAGAATAAAAAGACTCACCTTTTGTAATAATTTTATGAGTCTTACTTTTTATTTCCTTTGCTTTTCTTGTAAGGAAATGAAATTACATGTTTTGTTTATGTTCAGTGAGGCAGATTACTTCATTTGATAATAAATGCTATTGGGTGACAGTTCAAAAGAAATTAAATGAACTTAAATGCAATCCAAATCAAATATTGTTTTGCTGAGCTTTTGGCAGAGCAGCAAACTGATAGTCAAAACTTTCTCTTTAGTTTCAGCTCCTTCTTATTTGCTCAATCATCTAAGCAAACAATAACCAGTAGGGTTATGTAAGAAATTTTGAAATATGCATATGTTACAAAAGCTCAGTATTGTTCAGGTAAGCTGACATTTGTTCCTATGTATTTCATCTTTATATTTGAGATCTATGTACCAAATTACAAACTTTACTGCAGGTATAATTTGAATAATACAAGTTACAATGATGTATAATAATTATAATAAGAATGATATGGTAAACATGTAATTGTTGACTTATATGAGTAGTTAATAGATACAGAATTTAATGTCATAGTAAGTACTTATTTTAAAATTCTTGGACACACCAGTCACACCCCTACCTGAAAATTTGATCTATGAAATCATTCAAGTGATGGATGAAAAACTGTGTATTATGATAAGCAACATACTGGAAAATTACAACCATAGATATTTTTTCTTCTAGCCTTTTTTTTTTTTTTTCTTTGATAGACTAGAATAGATGAGATTGCTACAATGCTGCAAATTAGAACTATTAGAAGAAAAATCAGAAAGTCTTTTACAGAGAGACAAAACGTGTCTTTCTAATGCAGCATTGTGTTTTACTGAAAGTGACTATACTACAATTATTAATCAATTTATCTTCTTAAAAAAAACACAACAGTTTGTGGATCAGTAACTTTCTTCTTTTTTGAAATAAATGGTCACTGATCACACATCCTTAAAAATGTTTTGTAGGCTGATAAACTGTCTGTTGAGAGTACTAGTCTGATGCAAATGTTGACATGGCAGCATTTAAACAAATGGTTCAACAGTCAGTAGAAAGGAGTTAATTATTAGAACTGCATACATTGGTTCATCACTTTTACCAGAGATATAAATATCATTTGTCTGAGCAGCTACCTTCAACTAAAAGGTTCGACTTCAGCCAAAATCTGAGAATCTTTTTCTAAAGCTTCAGTAAGCTAATATTAATGTGCATTTGCAGAATTAATTTGCACACAGAGATATGCAAGTAAGGCTAATAAAACTATGATAAGTAAGTCCACCATTGGTGCACAGTCTGCATGCATTAGATATTGGGGAACATCATCTCTGGCTTGTATAGCAGTAGTACCCCTTTTACTAAAATTTTCAGCAACAAGGAATTCAGGAGTCACCAGGTCTGGTTTGCATTTTTAACACAGACTACCTCATTGGAAACAAATAGGAGCATTACACACTAGCAACGGCACAGGTTTTCTTAAATGTGATGACTATAACACTACAGTTTGCAATAACAAAAATCTAAGTGAAAATAATAACTAGAAGCTCCATAATAGGTTCACAGTGGAAATTTTAAGCAGTTTAATGCCTCTTCATCACTAGCAATGCAATTCTATCTAGGCCATTTGAATGTCAAAAGACAAAAAAGCACTATAAATATGAGGAAAGCTACAGATATTGAAAAAATAAAAGTTTACATTTTATGGAATAATGATATATCTGCAGTGAAAGAATGTTTCATTATTATTAGGACTTTTGCACTGTGACACATCTCTCTCCCCTTTCCTTGTTTTTGTAGAAGAGGTAACAACTTAAAATTTGTTCTGGACTTTGTTTTTTAAGCATAAATAAGTGATAGTAGTAATATTAATACAAAGGGTGTGTCAAACCCTTTTCATCCTCAGGGCCTTTAAGGTGGAAAGAAGGAGATGCCAGGCAACTGTTTTACAAGCAAAAAAAATCATTTGTATTTCTATCTAAATGTCACTATGTTTTTGAGGTAGAATGAACTTAACAATTAGAGAAATATGATTCCTTGTACAGCTAGTATATATTATATCCCCACTCTACTACACTATATACTATATATTTTCTGCATTTTGGGGGAGTTGTATGATATCTATCAACAGTTCCAAGTACTCTATACAATTAATCCATCCTTAATATGCATATACTTTGTATTATAAACATATAACAGTTGAAAGTGCATATCTTCAAAGCAATTTTCATATTTCATTAGTCCCTAAATAGTTTGGAAAATGAGTGGGCCTTATGACATGTTATAAAAGAATTTAATTGCCTTTAGACAGGGGAAACTGATTCTAAATTGAAGCGCACCTTAGAAAACGTCCAACTGCAGCCATTTCCAAGGGCACCAGCACATCTGCTGATTAAAACTTCAGAAGATTTATACGGGGAAAGTCAGATTCTCTTCCAACAGGCATGTATCAGCAGATGCTGCAGTTTATGGACGGGTGGTTGGAGCCACAGGCACCTGGTTTGGCAAGGACCCAGTTTGCCCCCTGCTGTATCAGCAAGTGCTTGTGCTGAAGGCAAGAACTGACGTGTGTTGGTTCATATCACAGCTCAGGTCTTTCCTCCAAGGGAGTGAGCATTCTGGGACATTGCTGTTCCATGGCCTGCTTTGGTATGTCTTGGTAGTGTGTGAACACCTTTTTGCTACAACGACACCCACTAAAACTTTAACTATGCTAAAAAGTGCTGGGTTTTAACCAGCTTAAATGGGGTTGCTTAAATAAGAGAAGCATGCAATATTCTCTTCACAGGACAGGAAAGAGTATCCTCTGCTCAGTACATAAAGGGAGAGACAAAGAGTTATTTATGGAGAAAATCAGTGAGGACACTTTTTTGCAGAAATGGCCATAAGCTTCCAACTCCTCCAACTATTCAACAATAGGATGTTGTGACAGCAGAGTAGCTGCTGCTGTAAATCTCCTAATTATGGATAAAAATGCCACCAACACACGATGCACAACACTAAACTGGTATAATCTCACACAGCAGTTCAGAACAGTGGAAAATTTTCTGCTGGATTAACCTTTATATCAGTAGGTTCTATGCCAGATTCAGTATCAGATGTATTCTAGCCTCCTTTTGAAACCTACAGGCAATGTAAAAAACCCCAGAAAAAAAACAAACCAAAACAAAACATAAAGCTGGCATATACTTTGCATCATCTGCTCTAGCTAATTTGACAGCTGTGCTATCCTTGTATCTTCCTGATCTGGATAAAATTAATGTTTTTAGTAACCTCAAGGAAATGGTGCGGAGCTCTGGCAGTGATGCTCACAGACCCGTGTTCTCAAAGGTTGTGTTAATTCACTGGCTTTAGCCACTGATGTGAGGCTTGTTTGTACTTGAGATACCTGCTGAGTTCTCTTGTGTGTGCAAAAAGTGCTTATGTTCCCAGGCACACAGTTTTTTCCTCATCATTCTTCCTCTGCCCACCTGCTGGGGTAACTTATGCCATTATCACTACAAGGGAAATCCACATTGGTAATTCTGGTATCAATTCACTAAAAATGCACTCTGCATTGCATTGCATATACCTCATAAAGGACATTATCAGTTAGAAAAGTGCAAACAATAAACCGTTCTTCCATGTGTTTCGAAAAACTACATGCATTCACGTAAAAGGCCACCTTTACAAGAGCTATCACCCTTACTAGAGCATTGCTAGATTTTTTGTGGTAATAGGAATTTTATTTTGAAAGTGTCTCCTCTATGGTGCAATTAGAATAGGATTGTGAACAAGAATTGCCAGAAATTAAACTAGCATTGTTTCCCATCTTTATCTGACAGCATGGACTGAGCATTATTAGAGAGCAGAATAATTGTGGGGAATTTTTGTTGTTTGTGGTGAAGAGATGCGGGGTGGAGTGTTGGTAAATTGTCCACCTTTGTTGGTGGTGTGATGATGATGTTTTGATTTAGGTGTTGGGAATTCTTTTGTTGATGTAAGTGCCCTTTGTAAAGACTGTAGATTGTACGATAAATGTGTATTTTAATAATGATAATTTAATGATAATGACAAAAGAAGAAATATTTTTACATTCTCAGCATGATGTAAATAAAAATCAGATCCCATAAGATATTCAGACACCTCATTCTTAGGTATTTTAGCTATGTGAAGATACCTGAATACTTTTAAAAATCTGGCCCATAGAATTTCAAGAAGGTCAGAATACATTCCTGTAAAGGTTAGATTGCTGCTCTTCAGTAGTCTGCTGTATTATAGTTTTTGATTATTCTGTTTTGTCACTACTCTTTATGTTGGTTCTGTTTTTCCTTTCCTGAGTTAGCTGCTGCACTAGGTGTCTCTCTTCTAATTATTTTTGGGAAGGTCTGTGAAATTTCTTTTTGCTTCACAGTGTGCAAAGAAGTAGAGCTTAAGGGCTGTACACTTACTACTCTCTGTATTTAGTTACTACTTTTTTCTAAGAGATGCTGAGTATACCTGTCACCCATTCAGCTGCTAAAAGAGAGAATGATCATCATGGGATCAGGCAGATAAGTGATGATCTTCTCCCTAACCATCAGGAGGGGAATATAAAGCAGTCAGAGTTATCAGAGGATCTTCTCAAATCTTACTTCTGAAGGGGAATCTCTGGTAGTGAAAGAATGGCAAAACTGTCATTTTTGGTATAAATTAAATCTGAAGTTTTAGCTTACATGTAGGGCTAAAGTTGGCAGGGGGGAGCCTTAAGCTAAAGTTTAAGGAAAAATATAAGGAGCATTCTGTCACTGGTATCAGTCCTTCCAAAGGCTGAGAAAAATCCATAATAAACCATGGTTAGAAGGACAAAGTTGGCTTTTAACCACAAAAGTTTGATTGTGCACCAGCCTTGTAAAAATACTATGTATGTTCTTTTTCCTCTGTGCAGGTATCTAAGCCAGACTGTACTGGAAGAGGCAATGTTAACAGCCAACCCTCAAAACAGAGAGAAATTAGCAATATTGAAGCAAGCTCTAGCTGCTATGGGATTCAATAGCCTGGTAAGTTACACAAGCTTATGTTATTTGTGGCTAAAATCACCATGTTAGTTAAAAGTAGGTCATAAGGAACTCTTACTGATAACCTTTTGTGGGGAAAAGAAGTGCCATTCCGTCTTTCTGTTTTTTTCTGTTGGTTAAGACCTTGAAACAGTATGCAGTACTAGTTCACTCCAGGGAAATTACTGTAATCACTTTTAATTAGACACAGCACCAACAATGTAAATCTTTTTCATTCTTAAAGATTCACAAAACAGCTTCAAGGTATAATACTCTGAACAATTAAATTACATAGATAAAAAGAAACAATCAAATCCCATATGACTGAAACCTCATAAAACCCACAGGAATTTTTCCCTCTTCCTGATTATCTCCCTGTCCCTTTTAATTCTGTGAAACACATTCCAAATGCCTTTGCTAGCAGCACCTGAAAAGAAGTAAATACATATTTAGTTAAAGAAAATTAGAGCTGGGTAACTTGAAAGAGCTGGCTTAACCCCCCAAAAAAGCAACAAGAAGATGGGTCTGATGTTTGTCTTTAAACCTATAAAGCTAATGAGGAAGATAATTTGGAAAGTTAATCAAGAGTTTCTGGAGAACAGAGATGTGATGGGAATCAGAAGAAATGGAGGGCTGAGTGTAAGAACTCATGTAAACTATGTAATTCCCTTCAGGATACTAGAATATTTAGCAAACTCCCCATATTCCTTACCTATGTATATGCACACTGTAGCTGGGACACTTCTGAAAAACAAATGCATAAGCAACAGTAGTTCTAGAAGGAGGTAAAAACTTATTCACCCCTACGTGATATCTAGTGTCATAAGAAAAAGCGGAGTAAAAGTTAGTGTAACAGTATGTTAAATTATCATAAGAGGTGACAGATGGGCAACGGTTGTAATAAAAAGGGATCAAGGGCTATCAGCAAAAAGAGCCCTTTGAGTTTCTGAAGATGTTATTTAGGTGTGAGGTAGAATTCTGTGGTGATGGTACATCATGTAGCTGTTTGGTATTCCCTAGTGAAAGTAGTAGCAAATGTTCTTTGGTAACCTATGCCACCTTTTAAAATAGAATAAGGTTTTCCCATGAATATTCACATGGCCATGTACAAAATTGAACATATATGGCTATATTTGACAGAATTATTCCTTACTCTTAGTGGCTCAAGCTCTGCACCTGTAGACTTCAGCAGCAAACATTCCAGGCACTTCTGTATTTAGCCCACTGTTCACAGATGAGTGGATCTTCCTAGCTCTTTCATGAACATTTCTGTTCTGTTGAGGAACAGGTTCAGCTCATAAATAAATAATTGAATGCATAATGAATCATGTTTTAGAAGCCTGCAGAAACTGTCTGAGAACACCTTACATACAGTATTCTTTTGGATCCCGCACTTGACTTTGCTCAGAGTTCTTGAAAGGAAGTAAATTGCCTTTCAGCAAAGTGTAAACCATCTTTATGGATCCTCTATATCTGGGCAACATTAGAACAATCTGTGGATTAGAGATCTGTGGAGCTCCAGAGTACTGCAGGCTGATCTCCTGTGCTGGAGGTTAGAGGAGATTCTGAGGTTAAAACACATCTAAAATTTCTGCCCATTACTTCTGAGGTAGTTGGAAATGTCTTTATATATTATTCCTTGACCATCTAGGTACATTTAATGATAGAGTAGATTCTCTTTTTGAAGAACTACGTAAAAATTCCTTAGCAGTAATGGTATCTTGTAAAGTACGTTAAAGTTTATTAACAAATTGTTTTAAGTTGAGGGAACATGCATCTTAGAGCACAATGAGGAAGTGTTTGGGAATCTGGAATGTGAACTAAACCCGAGGCCTTACCAAAATCACCAGAACAAACAGCTATTCCAGCCTGCTGCAATTGTGTGCTGTACAGTCACCCCCAAACCAGTTCCAAACAAGCAAAGAAACAAGCAAGAATTATGCTGTACAAGTGTGCCATTCCATCTTGCTTAAGAGGCCTTCCCAAGAAAATATAGCACTCTAGTTTGAATGCCATATTAGCATCAGAGTTCTTCTATTGTAAGAGCTATCTTATTCAGACTTTTCCTATATATATTGCTTTTCTTAATCTTCAGCTTTGGTACTGTGTAATAGAAAAATATACTGTTGCCCTATTTATATCTATCTCATACAGTAAGAGATTGAAGTTCCTGTCTTAAAATGTAGTTTAGAAAATCAAACTTGCTTAAACAGCATCAGAGATCCTGTAGTCTGTATCACAGAAAGACTGTAAGCTTTTTTTTAATATCCTCTGATTTGGAGCATATTATTAGAGAAAGGAACAAGAATAAGAAAAGCTTTTTTTTTGACCTGTTGCTTTTGAAAACTGATGAAAAGTCATCCAAGCTTGGTTTCAGTGTGTTGGGAAGTCATTGCTGTTGCCTGAGAATAAGGAGGAAGTATTGGCTAAGTATTTAATTTGCAGTTTAATTTTTAATCTTACTCTGCAAATTCCAGTAAGTGAGACTTCTGTCACCTCTACTGTTTCAGTAGAATCAGGTTCCAAACATTATTTTACAAAAATATTTCAAGAATTCTCCATTAACTTCCCTGTGCATAATGCCGTGTAATGCTATAGTGGATATCAGGTCTCTTGGTTTATGAATTTAAGGGAACACCATTGTTACATAACTGACCTTAAAAAAAACTTCCAAAAATGTACAATGTTTTCCATGTTTTAGCGTTTTTGGTTCAAATTTCATGGATCATTTTTCTCCTTTAATTTAAAAAACAAAAGACAAACAAAAACAAGCAAAGACAAACAAACAAACAAAAAAAAACCCAAGAAAATTAGTCCTCTCCTTGCTGTCGTAAAAATGATGCCAGGAAAAATCTAGCCCTAGATAACTGCTTCACAGCCTTAGCGGTATCAGAACATAGCATGCAATCATGGAGGAAAGTCTGTGGTTCGGGAAGGTTGCTTTCGGTTTTTTTAGACCTTAACTACAGCTTTTACTGCCAGCAACCTGTTACAATTTAGAGATAGACACTTTGTTTTTGAATGCAGTTGGCTGAGGGAAAAACAAACCTTGTTATTCCCAGATACAGAAAATGTTTTCATGGAAATTCTCTATGGAGAAGATACATTTATTTCTTGCAGAAATAATGCATCCATAAAAGATATTTCAGTATTTTTGATCATAGTCTGAAAAACTGTCTTAATTCAGTACTTGATGTGATTTATATTAAAACGAAAAAAAAAAAAAAA